GAGCCATTTCGAGCTGAGGAGCGTCAGCGAGTGCTCAGAAAGATGAAAGAACATACCTCTTCATTCGTCCGGCACACCAACAGACGTGGCCCAGTCGCCTCGGGCACTCCCACATCCAGGACAATGTCTTCCGCTCCCTGCACTGCTGCATTCCGCTCGGCACTGATAGACGCGTAACCCAAGCACGCTATCCGCTCAGCGAGGACCGCACGCAACTCTTCGCTATGTTCCCCAATGCCCCCCGAAAACACGAGCGCATCAACCTGTGCACCGAGCTTGAGGTGATACGACCCCACGTAGTTGAGCACCCGGTCCACGAACAGGTCAAACGCCAGCCCCGCCCCTTCGGGATCTTCCTCCCTCTTTTGGGTAATCACACCAAAGTCCGTAGTCCCCGCAAGCGCCTTCCATCCTGCTTCGGTATTTAGGATGTGCTCGGCTTGCGTGACGTGCAGGTGAACGGCGCTGCCCTCGTCGTGTGACATGCGCCCCGCTTTGTTGGTGTAATGGAAGATCAGGGAGGGGTCAATGGCGCCGGAGCGGGTTGCACCAGGGAGACCGTGCAGAGGGGTCAGTCCCATGGATGTGTCGAGAGATTGACCTTGCCGAATGCAGCACGCGGAGGCACCCGAACCAAGATGGAGGACTATAAGGTTGAGAGAGGAGGCGGGCTGCGGAAGGCATAAGTATGTGAACGATTTGAATCGGCGCTTTCACCTTTTGCAAGAAGTCGGCGACTGAGCGTAGGATGAACGAATCTGAAACCGACTTGAGATGGAAAGACAGAAGTTGGAGTGGACGTACAGCTCAGCCCGTGAAACCCATACTTTTTCAGCCCACGGCTTTTCGCATCTTTCTGGTCGATAGCATAGCTAGATATATGCGGGGGGATGGATCGGTGAAATGCAGTATCAAAGAAGGTTATCGACTTTGCATGGTGGAACTTGGATTTGGAAAGGCATATCTTGATGACCGCAAGAGCTGCACCGTTGTGCCTACAGGAGATGAGCGCGGGCACAAACTTGAATGCATACATCGTACAACGGAGCCAGGTCGGACAAACGCTCGATGTGCGTATAGGCCTCGTCGTTGATCAAGACGGGGTCCGAGTAGTCCCCACCGTGGACGACCCGGTGGCACACATGCGTTATATCTTCTCGATTGACGCCTTCCTCAGCATCAAGGCAGTCGAGGAAGTGAGAAAAGCCAGATTCGTGGTCATGAATATCGTTTAGCTCCTCCTGCTTTGTCGAACCGTTTTGCACTTTGTATGAGAACTCTGCCGGGGGCGTAGAGATGTTGGAGATGGAGCAAGTGAGTAGCAGTTTCACTGGCTCGTCCTTATTTTCTGGAAAGGCGCGGAAGAGTGCAATTTTGAGGGAGGAAGACCCCGCATTGACGGAGAGGACAAGAGACATCCTGAGGGAGAGTTTGAATCGGGGAGGGCGTTGGCCCAGTGCCCACTAAGTATAAGTTCAAGGCATGTCAGGATGACATCACGAACTTGATGCTACTCTCACCCATGTACCCCGATGAGCTCAGAGGATGGCGCATAAAAGACACAGGATTTACGAACGTTTCCCCAATACACTTCAATGCCTGCTTCTCCGCTACCCGATTCTCTACTCGAGCTCAGCGTGAAGCTCGAGACCAAGAACTACCTCCCTGATGATGAACTCAAGTCGCTCAAATTCTTCCGGAGGGCCGCAGACTACGTCGCTGCGGGTACTCAGGCTCTTCTTGACCTTCTTAACCTTATTGACGCGCTCTAGCAATGATCTTCCTCAACGATAATGTCCTACTCGAGCGCGACATCGCCGAGTCCGACATCAAGTCGCGTCTGCTTGGCCATTGGGGAACTTGCCCTGGCCTCGTCATGGTATACGCGCATCTCAACAGACTCATCCGAAAAACCGGGCTTGATGCCTTGTATGTCGTGGGGCCAGGGCATGGCGCGCCCGGTATCTTGAGTTGCCTCTGGCTCGAAGATTCCCTCAGCACCTTTTACCCCCAGTACACTCGGGACCTCAAGGGCCTCCATAAGCTCATCGCAGGCTTCAGCGTTCCCGGAGGCTTCCCCAGGTATGCTACACTCCCCTGTCAGGCTCGAAGACTAAACTTTAAAGCCATATCAATGCGGCCACGCCCGGTGCGATCCACGAGGGCGGTGAACTCGGCTACGCGCTCGGCGTCAGCTTCGGCGCGGCGATGGACAACCCGGATCTCGTTGTTGCTTGCGTTGTTGGAGACGGTGAGGCGGAGACTGGGCCCACAGCAACTGCTTGGCATGCGGCCAAATATCTGGACCCGAAAGGTAGTTTAAGTGTACCCTGATTTTATAGTTTCTCATATTTCACAGAGTCGGGCGCTGTGCTCCCCATTGTGCACGTCAACGGATTCAAGATCTCTGAGCGGACCATCTACGGTACGATGGACAACAAGGAGCTCACAGCCCTCTTCACGTTCGTATATTCCACGTTCCCCCCATTACTATGCTGAAATTCCTTCAGCGGCTACGGCTACCAAGTCCGTATCGTCGAGGATGTGGAGAATATCGACAACGACCTCGCTGCCTCGATGGACTGGGCGCTATCTGAGATCAAGACAATCCAGACTGCGGCTCGCACCGGGGACCCCATCGTTAAGCCTCGTTGGCCCATACTCATCCTCCGCACACCCAAGGGGCTCGGAGGACCGAAAGAGTTCCACGGCGAACCCATCGAAGGGTCGTTTCACTCGCATCAAGTACCGCTGCCCGGCGCCAAGACCGATCCCGAGCAGCGCACGGCGCTCCAAACGTGGCTCGAGTCGTACAAGGCGAAGGAGTTGTTCACGGCCGAGGGTGTTCCCGTGCCAGAGGTGCTGAGCGTCGTCCCTGAGGACGTGGAGAAGAGGTTGGGACAGAAGAAGGAGAGTTTCCGCGCGTATGTGAAGCTGGCCACTCCCCCGTGGAAGGAATTTTGTGTGGAGCAGGGAACACAGGAGAGTTGTATGAAGACGGTTGGCCAATTCCTCAAGGCTGTTATCAAAGAGTCGGTTATATTCGTTCCTTCCGTCGAATTTCGCTGACATTCTGCTTCAGGAACCCAACTCAGTTCCGTATCTTCTCTCCGGACGAGCTCGTGTCCAACAAGCTGGACGCGGTCCTCGAGGACTCGTCGCGGAACTTCCAATGGGATCCCGAGACACGCGCACGAGGAGGGCGTGTTATCGAAATTTTGTCCGAACACACCTGCCAGGCGATGTTGCAAGGCTACACTCTCACTGGCCGTACAGGGCTTTTCCCCAGCTACGAGGCGTTCCTTGGGATTATACAAACGATGATGGTACAATACAGCAAGTTCGCCAAGATGGGGGCAGAGACTTCTTGGCGTCAGCCCTGTGGGTCACTCAACTATCTCGAGACGTCGACATGGGCACGTCAAGAACACAATGGATTCTCGCACCAGAACCCGTGCGTTCGTTCTATCTGCTCAAGGATTCTGACGTCGAATGTGAATAGGGCTTTCATTGGCGCGGTCCTGCATCTTAAAGCCAGCATGGCACGGGTTTACTTGCCTCCTGACGCAAACTGTTTCCTGTCCACCATGTCCCATTGCCTAAGGGCAGAAAACTACATCAATCTCATGGTCGGGAGCAAGCAACCTACGCCGGTTTGGCTGTCGCCGGAGGATGCGGACAAAGTATGCAGACATTTTGCTGCTCCACCTCCACTCATATGTTACACGTAGCACTGTATCGCCGGAGCGTCGGTGTGGAAATTTGCGAGCGTCGAGGAGGGCGTCAACCCTGACGTGTGCGCAGCATCCCGATCCCCCTCTTTATCATCGCTGACATGGATCCCTAGCGTCCTCGTCGGCATCGGCGTCGAGGTAACCTTCGAGGTCATCGCCGCCGCGGCTCTCCTCCGCAAACATGTCCCCGAACTCCGCCTGCGTGTCATTAATGTCGCAGACCTCATGATCCTCGGCAACAGTGGTTCGCACCCGCACTCTCTGAGTGACGAGGCGTTCAATTCGCTCTTCACGCACGACAAGCCGATCCACTTTAACTACCACGGGTATCCCATCGAACTCAAGGGGCTGCTCTTCGGTCGCCCGCGGCTGGAGAGAGTGTCGATCGAGGGGTGAGTCTTTTTGGCGCCTACACGGTCGATGCTCACCGCCTATGCTAGGTATCGCGAGGAAGGGACCACAACCTCGCCGTTCGATGCAGGTCCACCAAAATATTGACTGACAGGCTGCTCACTTGCTTTAGATGATGTTGTGCAACCACACTTCGCGTTACGACGTCGCTATTGCTGCCATCCGCGGTGGTGCGCTCTCCAATCCCAAAGTCGCTGTCAGCGCGCATCAGCACCAGTCGTTTTTCAAGCATCTCGCGGTGAAGGACAAGGAATACATCTATGCTAATGGCCGGGGTATGTTGCTCCTTTTTGTCTTGACGGCGACTCATACTGCTCACAGATCATGACGATACTTTCGACACACCTGTCTTTTAGCTGGACTTTGTAGAATATCGATGTACCACCAAAATCTTTGAAAGAGATCATCCGTTTGGATTGCCATCGCCAGTGATTGGAACTCGAAAAAGGTCAAAACGACCACGGCAAAGATCGAACGCACAATCTACTTAAATAGAGGGGGTGAAATGATCGACGAAGTTGAAAACGTGATTATTCTCCAATGGCATGAAAATCGGCGCGCAGGCAAATGCACGATCTCAGCTTATTGGTAATACTAAGAAGCTCAGAATGGTTGTGATTAAATTGTCTGACTTCATGATCTGTGGTTGAAAAAATCGATTTTTTTGCTCCGTTGTTTTTTCGTGCGCTCCGAACCAGTCGTGTCTTTGAAAATCTGAGCCTCAGGTGCATCAGTAATGTCTGATAATGAGATTTCTGCCAAAACACTGATTTCTCGGTCAATTCTGAAGCAAATTGGATAAAATTGAGTGCGTTCGAGAGGTGTTTGGCGTGGGGAACTCTAAAAAGGAGAAATCGACCACGGTGCGGATCGAACGCACAATCTCTGCCTAGCCAGTAAACCGGAAAGCAACGCAGTAACCATTTTGCCACGCGGCCGTCATAAGTAAGATTCAAGAAGACTATAAATCTGACGTCGGCACGCGGAACGCCTGCATTGGAGAGCAAACGAGGCATATGTAGTGAGTTGCGAGCGACGGATATATTGGCTAGCTCAAGTATCGCCAGGAAGTTGGTGGAAGTCGACACCCGAGAAACAAGGACGACTGATGTTCCACAGAGTCCGATGTAGATCCGTTAGCTAGACGGTATCAGAGCTACTGTAGCGACAGCTGGTGGAGATATGCAGACAGAGGCAGCAGAGCCTGGTGAACCGGCACCCAATCACCAGTGAGTCCCTCCCTCGATCGAGCGTTGCCAGAACTTGCCAGGTAGTATGGTCCCTGGTAGTTTGGCATGTTCGCAATCTCCCAGCGGTCAGTTGGCCAAATGAACGGTGACGTCGTCTTCGTTTCAGCGGCGGAATGGTGCGTCTCCGCCGCGCCCGAGCCTATGACGCGTCTTGGACAGTGGACACACGCGACGTGGGAGGAACCAAGAAGTGATCTCGAACTCCGACTAACAGCTCAAGGTGGCCAGGTCGTACTCGAGTCGTACTTGCCTAGTTACTGTGGTCACAAGACATATCTGAGAACTTGAAGGGCAATGGAATGGGGAGCTCGAGGTTCCCAGCACTGTCCGATGTAGGTTAGACGGTATCAGGATTCAGAGGTACTGACACAACAGCTGGCAGAGATATATATCTGGAGTCTGGACGGGGAGGCACTAAGTACCTGAGTAAGTACTTACGAGTAACCTTAACCAGGTTAGGGAGTGTGTGAGACTAGAGGGAGGCAATAGAGACTCCAATAAGGTAGCATTCAAGGTCGGTGTCCCTGTAAAATCACTGCGTGTCCTGTGTTTCCCGGAGGTCAAGGAAAAGGATTCGCTCTAATTAATATTGAACTGCTTTTGGTTCGAATTTGATCTCGAGGACAATGAAGAGTGCATAATGTGTTTGGGCTGAAAATTGCATCGGGGCAAGGTCACAAAAACCACGGAGGGTAGCGACGCGTTCGCCGCGGTGACTCGGGACCAGTGTGCTTGAGCGCATCCGGCCGACTGGAGGGACTTCAAGGCGGTGAACTTGCGCAACGGGGGGAAGGGCAAGTCCCAAGCGAGTCCGAGGCGGAGAACGTCGGACAACCAACGAGTGGGCTAACAGCTAAGCAAAGACCAAGCACCCACTAACCAGCAAGTGGGACAGCGAGGCTTCCCCGCCGCCATAGCCACCCTTCGCTCGAGCTTGATACGGGGCCCGTAGTTCCACATGTTGGGAATGTTCTGAATCTGTAGTGGGTGGATCCAAGGTGGATCCGTTTTAAAAATGAATGGCGGATTCGGGAGTGGAGGTGGACGTCGTCTTGGTTTTCAGCGGCTGGATTAGCTTAGCCCTGGACGTCTTGGACACCCGCGACGCGTGAGATGGCGGTAAGAAGCAAGGAGTGGTTTCGAACTCCGAGGCTGCTAACAGAAACAAAGTGATCTCGCTCTGCAGCTGATTCTTGCCATCACAACCAAATCACAACTGAATCCCTTCGGCTTAGGAATCCTGGACCCGCGCACAATCTTGGATTTCTACAGGACGGACCCCAGGATGTAACTTGAAGCGACAAGTCGAGGTCAAACGAGTCTCGGGATACTCACCGGCGTTTGAGCTAGAATCGTCTCTGCGGCGCCATCTGTCCATGTCGCCCTACTGCCTCTCTTAGCTTTTTCTGCCAGGCTGCTCGGAACGAAAAAACGAACGGCTCATGATCATGGCTTGCCTCCAAGTCCCCGTGTCTCTGAAGCTTCACTGGGTGCGAGCAAATCGCTCGAGCGGTGAGCACGGAGCTAGCATCTCGGCAAGCCCCTCGATTTCCTCCTCTTTACGGCGTTTTTTTGGTCCAAGGGGCCTTGACCGTGCTGTTCAAGATGTGAACTTGCCGTGATATGTTTGCCTGACTCTAAAAAGTTATTCGATACGGAAAGTGCGGTAATGAAGTTTGCGCACTTTGTGCAGGACTGCATGCATTTACATTCACTGTCAATGACGATGATGAATTCTGTGGATCGTTTGCAGACGTTCCGTTCAGTGGATGGCCCGGAAATGGGCTGGGCGAAGGATATCTCACACCGAGCTTGATCTAACTTGGGCCTACGCGGAAACGCTACGCGTCGCTCCTTCGGAAGCCACGGCGTGGGACCCCGACGCCGGAGAATTTTTCAAACGCATAAGTAGGCTGCAAAAATGTGAACCCGTCATCAACCATCCCCAACTATGCTTCCTCATGTGCTGGTCCCTGTTATATTTGCTGGACTCGTATGTCTATTCTACCAGCAAATTTATGGACACTCATCACGCCTAGACCTCCCACTGGATGTTCAACAAACTGGAACCCCGAGCGCTGCTTCATTTCATTCTCCTCCTCGCACTCCCTCCAACCCTCTTGGTTCCCTTGGTCATTCGACACATGTCCAACGTCTTGCACGCCATCCTGTTCACATATTGCCTCTACCTCTTGTCTCTTATGACATCAGTCGCCACCTATCGCCTTTCGCCTTTCCACCCGCTGGCACAGTACCCTGGACCAGTGCTCTGCAAGCTCACGAAACTCTATCTTGCCGGGATTTCCATGGGTGGGAAGCAGCACCTTTATTATTCAGAGCTACACAGGCGCTTCGGGGACGTGGTCAGGATAGGCAAGGGCTTCTGATTCTGGGATCTTAAAATGAATCTTATTTGTATGCAGGTCCTAATGAGCTCTCCTTCCGCGATGTGAACGCTATAATACCCATGATGGGGTCCAAAGGAATGCCGAAAGGACCTTGCACGTATACGTTCTTCTGATCTTTTCCTCGGACTGAACCGTTCTTTCAGGGTGGGATGGACGGTTACCAGAGAATCGTGAGGTCCGACCCCTCTTGGCTCTGCGAGACCCCGAAGAACACGCTCGCAGACGACGAGCCTGGAATAGAGCCTTTAGCACATCAGCACTCAAAGATTACGAAGTGGTGGTCGATAATAGGGTTTCACAATTCGTTGACATACTGGGCACGAAACTGGGCGCTCCAGTGGATATTTCGCAACGGCTGGGTTGGCTCACGCAAGTAGATATCATTTTCTGGAAAACCTATTGCTCATCTGCCACAGGTTCGATATAATGAACGATGTGATGTGCGTCCATGTTGTGACGGTCAGTTCTAGGACTGAATTTCTCTAGGTTCAGTGCAGGTGGAGACACGATGAAATATGAAGATCGGGAAGATACTTCCCGCCTACTGAGGAACGCGCAGCCGTGAGTCGACACGTCCCGATGTACATCTAGATCTGAAGGTTTAACTTAGGATGGCGTTACTCATGGCTCATTTGCCCTGGTTCAGCGAGATATACCTTTGGCTTCCCTGCATAGGGCAAGGGCTCCGATCCTTCCGCAAGTACGCGAGTGAACGGGTGTCTGAACGCAAGGCCCGCGGCTGCAACCAAATGGACGTGTTTTACCACCTGGTACTGTTTCGACTCAAGGCTGAAACTTTCCATCGCTCACAGCCTATAGATTGACGAAGGGGGCCTCGAGCCCCATGCTCCTTCGCATGCCCAGATTCTTTCCGACGGAGGCTTGGCCATCATAGCTGGTTCAGAGACGACGTCAACCACGCTCTCCCACATCATCTGGTTCCTCATCTGCCATCCCAAAGCATACTTGCGTTTGCAAGCCGAGATAGACGACCCGAAAAACAACTCCGGGGTACCGGCTTCGCAAGCTCGTATGCCGTATTTGAACGCCGTTATGTGAGCCTAATGCTCGTTCAGAAGCCCTCGTACTGACCTTGTACAGAAACGAAGCGCTTCGCATCTTCCCGGCTGTCCTTAGTGGGAGTCAGCGTGCGCCCCGCATCGATAGCGGTGGTCAGAGCATCGGATATCAGTAAGGCTGCAAATTCAGTTATCGGCCTGACACCAACCAACTCGCCTTGCAGCTTCGTACCCGAGGGCACCAGTACTGTCGTTCACACCTACAGTTTGCACCACGACCCTCGATACTTCTCGCCTCTTCCCGATGCGTTCATTCCGGAGAGGTGGTTATCGTCCGAGGAGCAACTGGCACTGGAGCCAGAATTATTTGGCGACAAGAAAAATGTATTCAGGCACAACACGGCCGCGTTCATACCCTTCTCTATCGGTCCCTCGAATTGTGTTGGGCGAAACTTGGCATATCAAGTATGTTTCGTTGCAGAGGTTGGGTGAAATCCTAACAGCGGCTCAGGAAATGCGCATGGTTATCTGCTCTCTGATGAGCAAGTTCGATATGCGTTTCGAAAAGGGTTTTGATGTCGGTTCATGGGAGGAGAGCATACTCGATTATTTCGTCGTTCAGCGAGGAAGGTTGCCGGTAATTTTAACCGCCAGGAATACTTGACCCTTACTATTCGTACATTATTACTGCAAACCAAGTAACAGAAAACGCAAGGTTAACTTTTTGACCTTGTCTTCTCTTCCCAGGTGTTCGATTCCCGGCAAATAAACTGTGTGCTTGATTACCGACCGAGCTGTTGCTTCGACCGGTCGTTCGGAGAGCATATTAATCTAATCCAAGCATTGAAGTCGCCTGCACTTGTCAATAAATCAATTGACTATACCAAGAAGAGACGGAACAGACTTCAGAATAAGTTTTCTTCCTCTGTCCCAACGTGAACTTCCATCCCAGCCTGCCTGTGTGACAACAGCGCCTTGCGTAACTCGTCCGCAAGAGGCCCATTTGTCTCCAAGTCCACATCCTCGGTCTCGAGCCGAAAATTGCGCAATGCACCACGTCGCGACTCGAGCAAGTCAGCCACGGTGCTGTAGTCGGATTGCTCCGCCGATCCCGCTCGGATTGTCAAGGAGCAAAGGTGTGGAAGGAGACCCTTCGCGTATGCGAAAAGCTGGAGTAAAGACTCGGCAGGGTTTCCTTCGAATCGTATATTGAGATCGGTCAAGTCCGCAACGAGACGTAAGCATTCTTCTATCTCTCCCT